GAATCTAATTGCACTGTTTTGCAATTAGATTCTCTGTTGTATGTGTAGAGTACATTATCAGACAAGATCACAATACAAACAATAATATAGCATCTGCATTTGATATAGCGCCTTATCATGACTTCTGGACGTCTCAAAGCGCTTCACAGAATATACTGTAAAGTGAATTGACTATGTTTTGTGGGTAAAACCCGGCAGCCAATTGCGCACAGCAGTGTCCCACAAACAGTTGTGGATTGAGTGACCAATTTATTACTTTTTTGAAGGAATTATTACCCCCAGAAAAGCCATCCACCAATCGACTAACAACAGGGTTCCTACTTATTGCGAGGTAAACAGAGGTGTTTGAGGAAACTTGACCAACGTTTCACCCTGCCGGGAATCAAACCTAGATCCTCTCGCTTGCGAGGCGAGTGCTCTAACCACTGAGCTACAGGACTCCAAAGGTTTAAATGCTTTCACTGGAATTTAAAAATAATACTTGCATTTGATACAGCACCTTTAACAACAATAATAATTATAATAGCAAACATAGTTCCTATATTCATTGATACAACTGGGACTGTTAATAAGACTATTCAAAAATGGCTTGACAAATTACCTGGTGAATAAAATATCAATCTCCTGCAAAGAGTAGCTATTTTAGGGAAAGCTCTATATGAAGAAAAGTAAGTTATATTCATATGTAAAGTGGCAGTGTTATTGTTCCTGCTGAACCATTATTGAAAACCATTAAGAAGGTAATAATAATATTAATAATCCTTGCATTTGACATAAGCCCTTATCATGTTGGTGAGACATCTCAAAGAGTCCGGGGTTACTGTAAAGTGTAGTGACTGAATTCGTTGGCAAACACAGCAAGCCCAATTGCACACAGCAATGTCGCACAAACAAACAGACATAAATGACCAATTGAATGACCAATTTTATTTGGGGCACTGTTGGGTAGGGACAACCTCTCTACTCTTAACTTCTCCCCTTTCAGGTTAGGAGAACATCTCAAAGTGCTTCTCAGGATTTTACTGGAAGGTGTAGCGACTGGACATTTTGTAGATTAAATATCTGTAACACACATAGAAATTCCCAGTTACTAGACTGGAGATAATATCTAAGAACTGTATAAAAAGTCATGACAACAGTTATTAACCCACCCAGAAGGGAGGGAATTAGCAGCAGCTCTATTCAAATCCAAGTACAGTCTGAATTGCATAGATATTTTATTACAGCAAATACCAGGGAACCAATCTAATGTAACCCAATGCTTAGAGGCTGCTTACGTTTTAGCTCTCAACTTATGATGTTAGTTGAACCCTTTGAATAGATTACTGCTGTTTGATCAGGTGGTGAGGATTTAAACCAGTAAGTGAAGGGAAACAATGAGTGAAGCCTTAACACAGGCAGATAGACAGAAACACAAGTCAGACATTTGAGGCAGGATTTCAGGTGAAAGGGGAGACGTTAAGGGAAAGGAGAGAAATAAGTGGAGAAAAGTAGATGGAAGGTGGTTCTAAGGAGGATGAATCAGTCACATGTAAGTGTTTAGACACACTGTAGGCAAATTCTGGAAGTATCAGGTATGAAGTCAGAGGCACTAATTGAAATGCAAAGATATTTAATGTCATCAAGGTAAGTTGGCAGGGGAATTTGGTAATTCTCCCTGGCTACGAATTCTCAGAAGAGATTAAGAAAGAATAACAGGAGGCGAATAATAATAATAATACTTACTTTTTTTAATTTCAGGAGGATTGTCGCAAAGCACTTCACAGAATAGATTGTAAAGTCAGGACAACAATGTCCGACAAACAGCCTTCAAGTGAACAAGTAATTTGTTTGGCGGGATTGATGGCAAGGACACCAGGAGGAACTCCCTTCTCCTTTCGCTGCTTTTCCAGCTAGGACCACCCTGTTAGAGCTTTGGCTTATAGAGTTAACAGGAACTGAGTGGAAGGAATCCCTCCCCTCTTCTTCCCAGAGATCTCTGTGCCTCCAAATCCTCCCAATGATGGATGGCTGAGTGCGTTTGAAAGTGTTACTTTCTATGCTACAAAATAATTGGTCCCTGAACCAGCAATCACTTCTAGTATCTATACTTACAGAGGGTATTAGGTCTGAATAAGGTAACTTATACTAAAAGATGAGTAGGCTGGTTTTGTCTTGACTCCTTTTCCTCACTCTACTGTGACACTGACTGAGATGCACACCAACGCAGAACTACTAGGTCTACTCGCTTGCGAGGGGAGTGCTCAAAACCAGGACTCCACGAGATTCAGACATTCAGAGTTGTAGTCTTCAGTAAATATAGGCTCTGTCCCCACCCCTCTATCTTCTCTCCTCCCCTCCCCTACTGCAGATTTGCAAAACTTCTCTTCCCGCTCCCCCGGAAATCTTGCTGTGTTGACCAGTCTCGACTGTTGGGACATCACAGGCAGTGTAACCCTGTGCCCATCTAACAGACCTGAACCTCCAGCAGTAATCAGTGGATCCACAATGGATACAGTAGAGTCCTCCCTAGCCCAAGGGCTCTGAGGCCGACTGTATCTCTGGTAACACTACCCCAGCAAAGGGCAGCTGACTCCGTGCAAACCAGGGAATCTGACTGGAACGAGTAATAATAATAATAATAATAATAATCCTTGCATTTGATATAGTGCTTTTCACGTCGGGAGGATGTCCCAAAGCGCTTCACAGAACACACTGTAAAGTGAATTGACTGTATATTTGTGGGCGAACGCGGCAGCCAATTGCGCACAGCAATGTCCCACAAACAGTCGTAGATTGAAAATGACCAATTTATTATTGTTTTTGGTTTTGGAGGGATTATTATTAGGCTCTGTGTGGAGTAAGGAAACTTGCCCAAGGTTTCACCCTCTGCCTGGAATTGAACTCAGGTCTCTCACTTGCAAAGCGAGTGCTCTAACCACTGAGCTACAGGACTCCACAGTTTGGTATTAAAATACCGCCCAACAGAGTAAGACATGAAGAGTCTGGGGCATATTAACACAAGCCACTTTTGTGCTATCTGTGCAAAAAATAATTCCAAGTATGGGATGCCATCCTGACATGAAAAGCACTTTATAAATGCAATTTGTTGTTGTTGTTGCTGCGCTGCAGCAACCTGGAAGAGGAAAACCGAGGGGGCAAGTGCAGGCAGAGACAGAGGGCTTTCCACAAAGTATTTGTTGTTTTTTTAATTACAGCGATACAAATCTTCGAATGTAGCTCATTGAGCTGTCTAAAGCACTATCTTTACACCATCCGAATTGAGAATGCAAACCCCTCACAGCACAGGACACCCTGGATGTCGAACGCAGTAACTGGTTCAATTTTTTTTATTATTAAAGCAAGTATTTTTATTATTGAAGTGGGAGAGTTTACTGAAGGTCAACGGGCAACGATAACAGCCCTATAATAGCACATGTTTAGGCTATGTTTAGAATGAAATTGCATATAAAAAGCATCTCGAAGTGACAGGCTTTTGAATTTGTTTCGCCTCGAGATAAATTTATGGTCAATTTAAAATAAGACCTTCCAGTTGTTACATCACTTCTACTAATAAAAGCAAACCTGCTTTATTTCGATAAGTACATTTGGGAGCTTGCTGCTGTGCTGCTATTTTCCTGGAAGGGTTTCTAATCTAGTGACCCTGCTGAGTGGTAACCACCTCACTCATTTCCCGGAGGAAATAGCACCGGTGTCTTGTCACTTAGCGCCCTCTTCTGTCCAACAGGAATGGTAATCCTTGCATTTGATACAGCGCCTTATCGTGTTGTCGTGATGTCTCACAGTGCTTTGCAGGATACACTGTAAAGTGGATTGCCCGTGTACGTTGTGGGCGTTTGTGGCAGCCTGTTGAGCACAGTAATGTTCCACACACAGTCATGGAGTACGTGACCCATTTTACGCAGGGGATTTATTGGCCAGAGCGCTAAGGGGAACTCCCTTCTCTTTTCGAATTCTGCCGTGGAATGTTTAATCTCCACCTGAACTGGCAGACGATGTTTCGTTGTGTACCCTGTAACAGGTAAGCAACGCAACATTACATTTCGCAAGCTCACGAAAGGTTCAGATAAAATAATTCTTGCATTTGATATAGCACCATTCACAGCAGGAGCGCGTCACAGGATTTATTGTAGTGACGTGTATTTTGTGGAATGCAGCTGCCAATTTGTGCTCAGCAATGTCCCCAAAAACAGCCAATGAAATGAGTGACCAATTTAATGAAGACAGGTGACCCATTTAAATGTCATCCTTGCAGCATACTCATCCTTCCACCTATGCGTTGCCGCTTGACAGTTTCTTAAATAAATCAAAGCTTCCTGAAATAACCCGTTCAAGGTGTTTGTTAAACTCTGTAAGAAACACATCTGGAAATGTCTGGAAGATGCTCTTGGTAACCATAAACCCCTGTCCTGCTACTTTGAGACAATAAGACATTTGAGTGTTATTGAGTATGATCATGTCAGGACATCTCACTTCACTGGATATACTGTAAAATGGAGTGACTGTGTTTTGTGGTCAAACTCCGCTGAAAATGTGTAGCAAGCTGGAATTTAAAGCTAAGTGTAGTTATAATGCTGGGACCAGCGCTGTAATAGTGGAATCTTCTACTCGCAGGTTTCAACCTGAGTCAAGGTCTATCCCTGGCCAGCAGGACAATAAAGCGAGGGGTGGGGGAGCTAACAGAAGGAGCCGACGAAAATCAGCACATGTGGGAATGGGAGATTTCTTGTACATGTTTCCGTTTCGGCCCCGTGTGTGAATTGCAGATACCCATCAGAAGGATGTCTCTGAGTGATTCACACTGGGACTGGAAGCCTGTGGGGGGGGGGGTGGGGTGGTTGCGGGGTAGGTGAAGAGGGGAGCAGAAAATTGGCTAAAAGCAGTCGGAGAGAGGTTTCAAGGTATTATCAATATTTTTAATTGCATGTTAAAGTCACTGCGGGTCTTGTGATGGGTGTGTGGCCCTTTTACCATTTATTGAAATTAAAATAATGCAGTCAAAACTTTCAATATTTTAATGCTCTCATAAATAGCAAATCTGTACAAAAGTAGATTTTATGCTCCTCAACCTATAGTGTAGCATTAATTGGTCACGTATTAGTTTATTGCTATGCTTTAGAAAATCAAAACTGACCAACACTTATGTCATGCAGCTGTTTAAAATTTGCTATTTCAAGTCTACAAAGGTCTTTACGTCATCTTTTCGCTTTAAGCTTAGTTCTGGAGGCTTCAAAAGTCTCAATATCATTGGTTTAGAAGACAGAACAAATTACTTCAAAATTTATTTCCCCAGCATAAAATTTGTTAAACATTTTTGTGTTTGATCCAAAGAAATTTAATATTGGCTTACTCCTCTCTCCTTCCCACACATACTCACACACGGACATACATGGGAATACACAAGACAATGTTACACACACGTGCACACATACAATATCTGCCAATCTGGAGTGATCATAAAATTCAAAATATTTCCCTCACATCTTCAATTCAACCACATAAAATCAAACGAGGCCCAAACTGGCTCCTGCACCCAATGCATGATCAATCGAAGAAAACTACGTCCTTGCTTATCTGAATTCTGTCCCACACTTTGTTTCCTATGGGACCAGTAGATACTAAAGGTAAATTCACTAAACTGTCTTTAGCAACACCATTTCCCATAAGATACATTGTCCGAATGCCTCCATCCCTTAGGGTTCAGGGCTCTCTTCTTTAGTCATTGCCTGTGAGGAGAAAGTAAAACGTACTGTCAGGCTGTGACACCAGGTACACACACACACGAGCTGTTTGGGGCAAACCATTTACAGCATGGAGGGACGCTACCTCATGCGCACTTTGAAGACGGGCTTGCGGGTGATTTGGTTATGGCACCAACACAGTATTAGTGACCGATGGCGGACAGACTTGAAAACAGAGTTTGGGATCTTTAATGACTCTGGCACGCTGTACACGTAGGGGAAGTGTGAAGAAGGAGCACTGATTGGGTTTGAGGTCAGCTCAAGAAATATGTAACCCTCTAACTCCAGACAATGCGTTCCTGGGAATCACCGGGCAAATGTATCTTGTGTTAGAATATACAGGCAAGAGAGGTTCAAACCTCAAAGATTTACAGAAATGTTACAGCACAGAAACAGGCCCATCAAGCCTGCACCAGTGTTTTTCTCCACAGGAGCCGTGCAGTCTAATGTCCCTGTCTTGCTTGGCTCACACACCGTTTAAAGGTTCAGCTCCTGATTTGCATCCTGCTAAAATGCTTCAGATGATAATAGGCAGCTGTTGGCTTTGTTTCAGGTGGACAATCACACATGGATATGACCTGCATGGTACATTATTGCACACACTAACTCCAAACAAATTGAGCTGCTCAAACCGGTTAAACCCTGGAATGCCAGGAAGAGAATGGAATCCGAAAAGCACTTACCGATTTGAGAAACTGCCGGCCCAGGTAGGAGGTAGCCATACTGGTCAGAGTTTTTCCACTTCCAACTTTGCATTTTATGTATCCGTACAAATTAGCCACTTGCAGAGAAGCACCCAGCATCACCACCGCCTGTTCCAAAGGCAAGTCAAACGGTGAGTTTATTTAATAATAATAATAATAATAATCCTTGCATTTGATATAGCGCTTTTCACGTCGGGAGGACGTCCCAAAGCGCTTCACAGAATATACTGTAAAGTGAATTGACTGTATATTTGTGGCGAACGCGGCAGCCAATTGCGCACAGCAATGTCCCACAAACAGTCGTAGATTGAAAATGACCAATTTATTATTGTTTTGGGTTTTTTGGAGGGATTATTATTAGGCGTGTGGAGTAAGGAAACTTGCCCAAGGTTTCGCCCTGCCTGGAATTGAACCCAGGTGTCTTGCTTGCAAAGCAAGTGCTCTAACCACTGAGCTACAGGACTCCACAGAGTCCTGTATTTGATACAGATGGACCTCCTCCATCCACCACCAACCTGGAAGGGCAGACCAGTCACTGGGGGCAGGTAATCCTCCCACTCAGCTCCTAATGTCATTTGTTGTTATTGTTGTTAACCCTGCAAGCCAAAGCCCTGACAGGTAGGGTGGTCATCGTTGCACAAGCAGCAGTAAAGCTGGCCAGACAGTGATATCAATGGCAAGCCATGCGGTTTTAGCTGGTTAGACTCCAGCAATTACCCCAACGCACACTCTGGGGTCCCCAAGCCTTGGCTCTTGCCAATTTGCACCTAATACTTTCCGGAATTAGGTAAGCAGGATGTGTCCCTTCAGGGAGAGAGTGCGCATTCCATTCCAACAATCTGTCTCGAATTTCCATGTGTAGGTGGGATGCATGGAATTCTCAGTTTGGTTTGGATTCTCTTAAGCACAGTGATGTTTCTTCACATGTGTCAAGACACCCGTCTGACCAAAACAAATAAAGGGGAAGGATCATGTAAACTCCCCATGTCCTGTAAGGACAGTATTAAGGCTGATAATAATCCTTGCATTTATTATAAATGCCTCAGAGTATTTTTGTGAGAAAACGTACCCGGCAGCCAATTGCACACAGCAATTTCCCCCCAAACAATCAATCACAAAGAGAAAGACCAATTTATCTCGGGCATTGTTGACCAGGTTACTGTGAGAGACTCCCTTTTTTTGAATAGTGTCATGGGATCTTTAACATTCACATCTCATCTGAGAGGCAGAACCTCCGACAATGGAGTCAGTCCAGACTGCAAGCTCAGTCCAAACATACATCTGGAACCCTGAACATTCTGACGCAGAAGCAAGAGCGCTACCAACTGAGCCAGGCCCAGTGCTAAGAGTGCGGGGAAAGCAATGAGAATTTACGAATAAGCAAGGGGGTTTCTTCTATGAATAGACATTTCCTTGAGGACCTTATAGTTGGGGCTTAATGATCGGAGGAAGACAAATAGATTTGTAGAACCCAGCTTAGTGTTCGTTACGACATCTAACGTTCAGCTCCCATATAATATCCTCAGTAAAAGTTTCATTCGACACCTTCATACAATACAAAATTACATTTGTTTAGTACATTTCACATCGGAAGGACGTTCCAAACTGTTTCATCATTGCCCCCCGCTCCCACCCCTTGACATCAACCTGTCAAAATAACTTTCCCTTGTAATAATAATAATCCTTGCATTTGATATACGCTTTTCACGTCTTCTCAACGTCTCAAAGCGCTTCACAGGATATGCTGTAAAGTGAATTGACTGTATATTTGTGGGCAAATCGTAGCAGCCAATTGCGCACAGCAGCGTCCCCACAAACAGTCGTGGATTGAAAATGACCAATTTATTATTGTTTTTGTTTTGGAGGGATTATTATTATTGTAATTATAATTATAATATTATTATAATTGTAATGACACAATTGGGTGTTGCACAGACTGCTGTTTACCACAAACCCTGCTGTGATCGCCCTGAGGCTGTGCCGGGTGCCACCAACGTACCAGCCATTTGAGTTTAAATGAGAAGAAGGTGCTGAAGACAAAAATGGCCCACATGATAGGGCAGACAATCAAACCCAGCCAGAAGATTTTGGATTCTGCTTCCCCTCCGACTGTCTTGCCTTGACTGGATGGCTGTGAAGATCAAAAATAAAATAAAATATGGGAAACAAATTATAATTAGAGCAGGAAACCAAGTGTGATTAAACGTGCAGCCCACTGCTTCAAAATAGTGTCTGCATGGACACCACAGGCTTGCCTTAACATCTCCCCCCCCTCCCCCCCAACTTTCTCTTGATTGTGTATGGGGCCAGCCGTACAAAATGCAACTTGTACATGCCAGCACCATTGGATCTGCTATCTGTACACTCCTCGCTTTATTTAGGTTAAGCAGCTTCTAAGAGATCTGAAAGTTATAAAAGGATGTGAGGAAAGGGCAGGGGAATGAGATTAACTCTTTCAGAGAGCTGGCAAAAGTACGACAGCCATTGTAGTCTTCCTTCTATGCTATAAAAATTCTACAACAACAAATTACATTTGTATACTGCCTTTCATATCGGGAGGACATCTCAAGGTGATGGACAGTCAGGAATTTGGACCCGAGCAGGGGGTTGGGATAAGGGAGTGTGGAGAGCAGGGAAGGTAGGGGTAGGAGGGTGGCCGAAAGCGCGGTCGAAGAGGAGGGTCTTGAGAAGTGCCTTGAAGGAGGCAAGCGAAGGGAGCAAGGCAAAGGGACTGTGGGATGGAGTTCCAAAGTGTGGGGGTAGAGAGGCTGAAGGCCCACATGGTGGGGCAGGCCGAGCAGGGGATGTGGAGCAGAGGGAGCGGACAGGTTGATACAAGTGACTAAACAACCATAGATTTAATTCCAGTCTCTCGCATACCTCATCTCAGTGACTCTTTCTAGCCCTTCCCACCAGCTCACACTCACTGCTAACAATTTTTGCAAAAGCATCCAGAGCTTGATTTTGAAACCAAGAGCTGACGGGTAAGGCTCTCGCTCTCTCTATTCCTGACATTTCAAACATATGGTCTCTGAGGCTTGTCTACTTTATGCCTTTACCACAATGGCCCTGGTGTCTTGCAAATTAATGAACTAGATTGTTCTTAAACAAAAGCTCATCTTCTTTAAATGGAGTTCGGGGTCCATTACCTTTCTGGCCTCGAAGATCCAGTGGCTTGTTCCATCGTCATCAACCTGGTTCCACCAGCGCAGGCCAACCAGCAAACGCCCGGTTACATTCTGAGCCGGGAGAGATGGAACAAGATGTTCATCGAACACGTTCCCAGAGCACAACAACAATGAGCAATGGCGCAAAACGTCATGGGAATGTTTGTGATTTCCTTCTCATAATATGTGCATTAAACATTTATTCCCAACGAGTTCGCCGACAAAATACACAAACGCAACACTTTACTGTAAATCTTGCCAAACCCTTCGGGAGGTCCTCCCGACATGAGAGGCACTCCACCAAAAGCAAGATTATTATTATAAATTGTTGTGCGCAATTGGCTGCCAAGTTTCGCCCACAAATATACAGTCAATTCACTTTACAGTATATTCTGTGAAGCGCTTTGAGACGTCTCGAAGACATGATAAGGCGTTATATCAAATGCAAGGATTATTATTATAAACAATGACACCTCTGATAGTGTGCCAGAGCTCCCCTAGCACTGCAATGGAGCGTCCTGGGACTTCTTCACGACTGTTTGTGGGACACTGATATGCGCAATTAATTGCTGGGTTTCGCCGACAAAATATTGTCAATTCACTTTACAGTATATCCTGTGAAGCACTTTAAGACATCTCTACAGAGTAATAAAGTGCTATTGCAAATGCAAGGATTATTATTATTATTGTCCCAAATCTAACCCAGAGCAGCACCGCAACTCAACCAAACGCACACCAAGACAAAAAAACAGGACTTACTTTCACAGTCCAGAAGTCACACGACAGGAGCAGAATTATTGCCACGAAGCACGCAATGAAGCTGTTGCTCAGGAATTCACAAAGAAGGTAAACAATTATCGCAGTGACTCGGAAAAACAGGTGGAAAAAGCATGCCAACGGGTGCCTTGGAACAGAAGGAAAATGTGTTTCAGAAACAGAGTTAAACAACAACAACAAGATTCCATTTATTGAGCGCCTTTCACGTCGGGAGGACGTCCCAAGGCGCTGTACAGTTGGGTCAGGACCCGAGCATTGGGGGGAAATGGTCAGGGGGAGGGAAGGGAGGGAGCGAGGAGGGGGTAGAGAGTCGAGAGGGGAGCTGAAGGCACGGTCAAAGAGAAAGGTCTTGAGACCGGCCTTGAAGGAGGAAAGGGAGGAAGCGGCGAAGGCACTGGGGGATAGAGTTCCAGAGCCTCGGGGCTGAGAGGCTGAAGGCCCGGCCACCGATGGTAGGGCGGTTGGGGCGGGGGATGTGGAGCAGACCGGAGCCAGAGGAACGGAGGGTACGGGCAGGTAGGTAGGGGGATAGTAGGTCGGAGAGGTAGGAGGGAGCAAGGCCGTGAATGGCCTTGTAGGTGAGGATGAGGATCTTGAATTCGATCCTCTGGGGGATGGGGAGCCAGTGGAGGCGAGCGAGGGTGGGAGTGATGTGGTCCCGAAGCCTGGTGCGGGACAGTACACGAGCTGCAGAGTTCTGAATGACCTGCAGTGTGGAGGGAGGGCCGGGAAGGCCGGCGAGGAGAGAGTTCCCATAGTCCAGCCTTGAGGTGATAAAGGCGTGGACCAGAGTTTCAGCAGCGTGAGGGGTGAGGTAGTGCCGTAGTCTGGCGATGTTCCGGAGGTGATGGAAGGCGGTGCCAGTTGTGGCGCGGATATGGGGAAGAAAGGACAGCTCAGGGTCGAACAGAACCCGAGGTTCCTGATGGCTTTGAGAGGTGGAGAGTGCAGCCTTGGATGCTGATGCTGTCAGCGCCTGAGGTGCGGAGGCGCTGACGTGAGCCAATCAGGAGGGCCTCAGTTTTTCGCACGTTGAGCTGAAGAAAGTTGTCTCTCGTCCAGGACTCGATGTCGGACAGGCAGCTGTCAGGACATCGGTGGTCGTGGAGTTGAGGGTAGAGGAGGAAAGGTAGAGTTGGGTGTCATCCGCATACATGTGGAAGTTAACCCCATGTCTGCGGATGATGTCACCACAGGGGGAGCATATAGAGGGTGAAGAGGAGGGGACCGAGGACAGAGCCCTGAGGGACACCACACGAGACAGTGCGGGGGGTGGAGGAAAAGCCGTTCGTGGAAACAAAATGAAGACGGTGGGAGAGGTACGACCTAAACCACTCAAGGACAGGGCCTTGAAGGTTTAGGTGGGAGGACAAGCGGTGGAGGAGGATAGCGTGGTCGACGGTATCGAATGCTGCCGAGAGGACGAGGAGACAGAGGGAGCCCTGGTCACAGATGGTCAGGATGTCATTGGTGACCTTGACCAGGGCAGAGGTCAAGTGCACGCCCTTACACTCAGACACGACTGCAGGATGGGGGTGTGCAGCAAGCCCGAGTTAGCTAAGCAGAGGCTCGATTTACTACAGACTGCAAGTTTCACGTTTGTAACCTCAGAGAGGGACATTTTGGAAGTTTACCAGCTCGACCATTACAGGTTTGTTCCATATCCGGGCACGATTCAGATTTCACATTTTATCCCCACAGTCACAGAATGTTACAGCACAGAAACAGGCCATTAACAACATGAGGGCCGGGCTCATGAAGTCTGCATTGGTTTTCTCCACACAACAACAACAAGGTTACATTTATAGAGCGCCTTTCACGTCGGGAGGACGTCCCAAGGCGCTGGACAGTTGGGTCGGGACCCGAGCAGTGGGGAAATGGTCAATCTAATCCCACATCCCCAAGTCCCAAATTCTACCTAATAAAACCATACTATGATAACATAATAATATTGCCATAACATTAAGTATGAGTAAAATGTTGAATTATTGTTGTTAAATCCAGTCTATTTTGAAGCCAGGTCTTTATAAGACTTGCAGAAAATCAGATTCCCAATTAAAACTGAAGTGATGAATTTTCTACAATTCTGCATCATTTCTGACAAAACACACTAAGACTAGAAATTTCAGGCCTCTCCTCGCTCTCCATAGCCCTCAAGCATCTATGTAGGTCATTTTCACATTCATGACACATTCTTCCTCAATCGTGTCTGTGATAAGGAATGCTGCTCACCAGGATACTCAAAGGCAGCTCCTGGTGTCCGATATCCACCGAATGAGCTCTCAAACCTGCCCTAAGTCAAAGATCAACTAGTGACCAACCTCCTTGGGAGGAGGATAGCAGGGTCACTTTGGGGCTGAGTTGGCTCCAAAGAGATATGATTGCTAACAAAATATTGGAATTCAGTAAATCCTTTGTAACAGTCTTCGTAGTCTAGTTCCTGATCCAGGCAAGTCTTGCTTGTTGGCAGGAATTGGAGGGGCAGCATGGCAGGGACTCTTGCCCCTCAGCTCCTGTTAATCCTGTAATCCAAATTCCTAATGGATAGGATGGTTCTTAGCTGGACTAACAGCAGGAACCTTCCCAGACAGTGACAAGCTGTGCAGCTTTAGCTGGTCAAACTGCTCCACAGTGACCCCAGCGCACATTATGAGGCGCTCTTGCCAACCTGCGCCCCAAATATTCCCAAATTAGATAAGCAGAGTGCAGCACCCCCTCCAGGGAGAGAGTGAACATACCATTCCGGACCCGGGGAAATTTCCATGTGTAAGTTGCATATATATTTGGATCTTTCCAGTTTGGTTTAGATGCTGTCAAGTATGGTGGTGGGGTTCCACATGCACCAGGACCCCAGTTTGACAAAGAAAATGCCACAGTCCAACTGCATAAAGAACTTTTTTCTAACCTCCACTTCAATTCTTTTTCTGACATCAAATGTGGTCTTAACAGGAGAATAGTCTAAGACTGAACACCCCGTCTCCATACCGGATCTTTTTCTTTCTTGATTTTCGTGGGACTTCGTCTCCGGCATCAAAGAGTGAAACATCCTCCCCATCATCACTGGATTCCTGCAACACAAAGAATCATTCACACACTCTCACCCTGAGACCAAGTCTGGGACACACACACCCACACACACATAGAGAGAGAGAGAGACACACCCACACACACATAGAGAGACACTCACCCACACACACATCTGAGACCAAGTCTGGGAGACACACACCCACACACACATAGAGAGAGAGACACACACCCACACACACACATAGAGAGACACACACACTCTCACCCTGAGACCAAATCTGGGACACACACACCCACACACACATAGAGAGAGAGAGAGACACACCCACACACACATAGAGAGACACACACCCACACACACATAGAGACACACACCCACACACACATAGAGAGAGAGACACACACCCACACACACACAAAGAGAGACACAAACACTCTCACCCTGAGACCAAGTCTGGGAGACACTCACCCACACACACATAGATAGAGAGAGACACACCCACACACACAGAGAGACACACTCCCACACACACACACACAGAGACACACACCCACACACACAGAGAGACACACTCCCACACACACACACACAGAGACACACACCCACACACACATAGAAAGAGACACACACCCACACACACATAGAGAGACACAGACCCACACACATAGAGACACACACCCACACACATAGAGACACACACCCACACATAGAGAGAGACACACACCCACACACAGAGACACACACACACACTCTCACCCAGAATGACACCCACACAAACAAACACACACTCAGACACACACTCCCTCAGAGAGAGACACACAAACACCCACATACTCACAGAGAGAGAGACCCACACACCCACAGACGGTCACCCCCCACACACTGAGGCCCCGCTCCCCCCCCCCCCGGGCCCCCCGCTCCCCCCCCCCCGGGCCCCCCGCTCCCCCCCCCAGACCCCGCTCCCCCCCCCCCCGGGCCCCGCTCCCCCCCGGGCCCCGCTCCCCCCCCAGACCCCGGCCCTGACCCCCCGGGCCCCGCGGCCTCTGACCTGCCTCATCCCTACACCGCAGCCGCGCTCCCAACATCCGCCATTGACGCGCTTCCTGGTCACGTGGCCGTGTGCCACCAGGTCCGTCAGTGTCTGCCTCCCCCCTCCCCCCCACCCCACACCCCCCCCCGTTACACCCCCCCCACCCTGACACCCCCTCTCCCCTCCCCCACCCCCCCCCCGCACTGACACCCCCACCGACAACCCCCTCCACCGACACCCCCCCCTGACACCCCACCCCCCGACACCCCCCCTCCCCACCCCTCCCCCACTGACACCCCCCGTTACACCCCTCCCACCCCCGACACCGACACCCCCCACTGACACCCCCCGACACACCCCTCCCCCCCCCGACACCCCCCCACCCCCCACCGACACCCCCCCACCCCCCACCCCCCCCCCGACACCCCCCCCCACCGACACCCCCACTGACACCCCACCGGCACCCCCCCCTCCCCCACCCCGGACACCCCCCTCCTCCCCCCCCCACCCCCCTCCCCCCCCCCACCCCCCACCCCGCTCCTCCCCCCCACCCCCATCCCCCTCCTCCCCCCCCCACTCCCCCCACCCCACTCTTGATCGGGCCATTGCTACACACTCTTCCCTCAATCAGATACCAGACGTGATCGGTACATTGTTTAGAAAAGACATTTTTTTTTCCATGTCTGCGGTGCGCAATTGGCACAAATATCTGCAGTATATCCGGCAGAGCACTTCGAGACATCTCAAAGATGTGACGAGGGACCATATCATCTGCAAGGATTATTATTATATGATCTGCTCACCTGCCCATCTGACAGATTAACATTATTATGTCTGGTCCACATGTACTCTTCAGGAGGTCATTGTGAGCATGAAACCAAAAGCTAAAGAAGCAAAAAGCTAAAGAAGTGGCAGACGCTTTATTGATAAATTCTGCCCCATTTTAGAGGATGAACGAACATGTACTCTGCATCTAAATCAAACATGTCTGCTGTAGCAGTTTTGCTGTCTAACTCCAATCAGCCAGGGCTCATGAGACCCACAGCAGTCTTACAATATACATGTGAATTGTTACCTACTGCCAGTACATTATGTATGTATATCACATATAATCAATATGAGATTCCATGAGCTCATATATAACTATTAGACCCCAATTCAGGGGCTGATAGCATCCCTTCCTTGGTGAAATACTCAATGGGAAGGCCCTTGACTCTCCTGAGCCAAGCTTGCCGGCTTGCTTTGTCCTTCTGCTCAGTTTCCATTTCCTGACTTTTGCTATGACTCTGCGCAATTCTTTCTGTGTATTCTTTCTGTTCCTTCAGTGTCCTGAGGTAGAAACCGCTCCGGTTTCGATATGGGTCCATAGGTGGTCGTTTGTCTACAATCAGTTTATCGAATGACACAGTTGGCTTTGTTCCTTGTGGAGCGACAGAGCTCCGTTGCTGGTCTTTTGGAAAAGCCAGGTGGTTCTCAATGATATCATCCACTGCAGTTTGAGGTCTGATCTTCTCACTTTTAAGATGGAAAGGGGTTTCTCCATAGCACTGGGCTGACTTTGAACGTATCAGAACAGGTCTGGGTATAAAACACTTCACATTATGGCTGTGCAAACTGAAATTCTGCTTCAATTCTTGCTCTCTCACCTCAAAGGGAGTGATGATTGTTTTGATGCACACACAGCCATCTGTGGACTGGCGGGCATTGAATGTGTCCGGAATCTTTTTCAGAGACTTCTCTGCGGTTTCACTGATTACTTTGCAGCTGTCCGGACCAGTGGGACGTGGACCCCATTCCTGCGAAAGTGAAATATTGTACAGAGTGTTTTCATCCGTCTTGTCTCCTCTGGGCAAGCGCTGCATGGATGCAATAGACATATAAATCTGGTCCGGGGTCCTAGGTCTGTGGGGCCCACGTGTCTTTATCCGCTCTAATGTTCTCTTCTCACTTGCCAATATCTTGCGCGATGCTGCTGAGAGGGGTTTTGCATCTGTACAAAGACCAGGGAGAAGTTACAACCAATGAAAAACATTCAGATAAAGTTACATAAACAAATTTCACGTTCCCAGCCCTCCCCTCCCTTACACATAACGCCAGTCCTCTACACCCACCCCTACACACACAGTGTAGCCTTCCCCACCCCACACACAGTGCCTCCTCTCCCATACATAAAGCCAGCCCTTCCTCTTAAACATAGTTATCCCCCCCACCCGACACAGTGCCAGCCTTCCCCCCCACCCCACATACAGTGCCAGCCTTCCCCCCCACCCCGCACACAGTGCCAGCCTTCCCCCCTCCCCCACAGTGCGAGCCTCACCCCATCCCCACATCTCCCACACACAAATCGACCCGTATACTGAAGTCCAAATGCATACTCTAGTCAGCATCAGCTGCCCCTATCCCACTATTTTGTTTGGTCAGCCAGGTGTCTGACACATGCGCAAACACATCACCATGGTTAAGAGTATTCAAACCAAACTGAGATTTCCCTGCATCCCACCTACACATGGAAATCCCAGAGATAGATGGTTGGAAAGCGCACCCTCTCCCTGGAGGGATGCATCCTGCTTATCTAATTCCGGAAAGTATTAGGCGCAGGTTGGCAAGTGTCAACGCTTGGGGGTAACTGCTGGACCACATAGTTCACCATTGATATCACTTTCTCGTAAGCTTTCCCGCTGCTTGTCCAGCTAGGACCACTTTACCTGTTAGGGCTTTGGCTTGCAGGGTTATAAAAGTATTGCAACTAGTTAGCATTTAACATATCTTCCAGCTGGATTTGAAGGCTGAGAGTGTGTCTGATAAGTTCCACTAACACTGACGTATAGAATTGTGGGCTTCAGATAGGGTCAAAGAGGTTTTCAGACAGATACGCCTTTGTGGTTTTCCCTTGGCAATGTCCACTTGAAAAGCCAGAGTAAGAATGATAGCTGGTGCTTTATTTCTTATTGTGGATATCTGCTCAATTCATCTTTTGAAATTAGGATCTGCTTTTGAAGGTCGCAACAAACTTCTCTCCCCCAACAACTGCCTTGTTCTAATAGCATGGGGTGGCGGAGAGGGCTTTTCACTAAACATGCATCACCCATGGCCAGGTTAATCCATGGCCAGGTTAATGTATCTGTCTGTCATCAAGCTTTTCACGTGTGGTATGAAAAGCGGTTTCTTCACTAGCTTGCATTGCTTCACTTTCTATCCTTTTCAGACTTGCGAGGAATGCATTTTTCAATAAGAGCGGAATGGCTCTTTATGTTGTCTTGCCCATTGCAGGACTCTTCCAACATCTTTGATGTTTGAGCACAAATGGAAAGGCGTCTTGCTTATCACATTAAGCTTCCGCTTTTAAAGTGGTACACCGTCTCAAAAGGCTATGCAGTAGTTCACCTGGATGTCCGATGTGCCATCGTCTAACTCTTTACTGTTCTGTAGCAAGCAGCTAATATACTAGGCCTAAAATCTCAACTCATAGAATTTAAGCACAAAGATGCTGGGACAAGGTGAGTGATCATGACCATTCGAGCCTTTCTGTCATTGCGACATTTCCTACATCCTTCACCCCACCCCCACACACCACCTCAAGAATAAGCTGCTGGAATTTCTGATATTTAATTGTTCACTAATCATCAACAGAATAAGCAGGGAACAGGTGCAGGGCTACAAAGTGTTGTTGTCAGGACAGACAACAGGAAATTTTTTTTACCCAGCGTAATTAACAACTGGATTACCATGAAGGGCTGTCGAGGCAAGATTGGTGGACTCATTTACGAACCAACTTGATTATGTCATGGGAGGAACTTAGTATAAGCACTTTGAGTCCTACAGACGTGAAAGGCGCTGTATGTGTAACTTGTATTGTATAAATTGTATTGCATAGGATTCTTCCCCAGAGGGTAATTATAACTGGAACAGGTTACCAGGAAACATGGTTGAAGCCGGGGCACAGGATTCATTTAAAAAGCATGATGCTGAGATGGGAGAAGAATGGGTCGTCTGGAGAGATGAGATCAGGTGGGTTACAACAATAACTTACTTTTATATAGCGCCCTCCACACCGGACGGCTAAAGAGCCTTCTTCATCCAAATCAGTCTTGTGATCTTTGTATGAGATGAGGATGAGATCAAATGGGTGGAAGGGCTTTCTCCAACTGGACCTCTCTTGTGATCTTATGAACTTCCCCAGCCTTGCCAGTTAATCAGTCAATATTTGTTCCAAAGGAATTTCCCAACCAAACTCTTTTGAGAGTTTCTTGTTGGCATTGCCAGTCGCAGTGAGAGCTGGCTCCTGCCTTGAGGCATTGTTCTCCAAGCTCTGATTGATAACAGCGAGGCCATCAGTACTGGTGGAGCACGGTTCCTATTGCGTTCTGTATCATTGACCTGTTTCTCTGATCTTTGAACTATTATTGATATTCCAGATATTGGACAGATTCCGTCAGTACCACAGACTTACCATTACGCACACGGACAGTTAAAGATTCTCAGCATCAAGTTCCAATGTGTAATTTTTGCTGAAATTATCTTGGGATCTCACCTACATTTTGGTTAAATGGACACGTCTAGATACGGGGCGCTGTCTATATTTATGATGTGGTGCAATATTTGCTTCATTTCATTAGGTACCACAACCCTTGAAGAAAATGTGAGACATCTTTAGATCAAGAAACTGTGCCCTAGTGAGGGAATGAAAACATTTGACACATAATATATTTGCTTGTCATGTACTGTATTAGACATGAAATGTAATGAAAACTTGTTTGAGGTATCTCACCAGAGGCAATATTAGAGTGTGTTTCCTGCCTCGGACTGACTTGGACCATCATGTCTGGGCTTTTGGAGGCAAGTGGAACTGGAGAAACCTTGGATTCTGGATCTGTTAGTTGCTTGCGACAGGGCTTTTTACGACGAGTCTCCAGTTTCATCGATTCAATTTGAATATCTATCACACAAAAATAAGTCATCTTTATGACATAGCCTCCATGTGAAATGTTCTGTGAACTGGTAATAAAACGTTTGTGACAATCTACCTCCACCCTCACAACTGAAGCACTTCCTGTTTCTCACCTTAACATAAACACAAACTTTAACCCATTGGATTGTTTTAACCTGTTCTCCCTGCTGAGTTGGCTGCTCTTTACAATTTGAGTTACAATGGTTTCAATATCTTATGGTTAGGGTTAATAAATAATAATCCTTGCATTTGAGATAACGACTTGTCACATCGTTGAGATGTCTCAAAGCTCTTCACAGAATATACTATACAGTGTAGTGACTGTGTATTTTGTGAGTGAAACATGGCAGCCAATTGCACACAGCAGTATCCCACAAACAGTCGTGGATTGAGTGTCAAAATTATTATTTTTTTTGAGGGATTATTACCCCCAGAAAAGTGATCTGCGATCAATCAATTAACAAGCGGGTTCCTACTTACTGCTACGTAAACAGAGGAGTGTGTGCGGAGTACAGAAACTTGCCTAATGTTTTGCCCTGACCAGGAATCGAACCCGGGTCCTCTCGCTTGTGAGGTGAATGCTCTAACCACTGAGGGGAAAAATGTCATGATTCACTCTCCTGATCAATAGCTTAAATCCACTGAAAGGTGGATTCCAGCATGGGATCCCAGTGAGCACACAAATGGGCTCAGCACCCCTTTGCTCCAGACAAACATAAATAGACTGCTCACACACATTAAGAAGGGCTAGCAGAGACCTGTGGAGATAGCAGACCTGGGGAACTGGACCTCAGCGTCTGTCAGTATTTTCAAGAGAGGAGGGGCAGAAAAATAGACAAAAAAAAACCTCTGGAACAGTTTGAAAAGACTCACTCCTTGCCAGCTCCATGTTTTTGCTGGACAGGCTGCGAGCATGGTGGGACAGCCTGGATACACCCTCTTCTGCTTCATCCACCTCTCTCCGATAGATCTTTTCATTGGTTGATCCAATTATTTTCATTCGCTGGGCACGAACATAGCTGTGGGGCTGCTTCCTTAGTGGAGCTGCACTAAACTTATCTTTTGGTCTGACAATGGCAACAAGTGCTGCAGCTGCTCCGTAATCCCATCTCACGTCTTCGAAGTAAAATACCAGCACATTGGACAAGGTGTTTACAACAATCCTAAATGGCACAATATCATAGGAGTATGAGCACAATTATGGAAGTTGCCTTTCTTTTATAGAGAAATGGTAGCCATGTAGTAAGGAACCCTTTGTATTAGTGTTGGGATGCAGTAGTATCGATATACAGACCTGTTTTCTGCAATGTTGAGGGAAAGTACCGCATCCATGTTGCTGTTTGCTCTCAATACTCTTAGACAGTTAGCATTGCAAAGGTCAAAGATCCTGATGTTTCCATCTTTACACCCACTGATCACACGCATGTAAGTAAACTCCAAACACAAAACCTCCCTGAGAAGCAAATGAATACAGAAAGATTTCTGAGAATTAAGCATCAATAGCAGAGTCTTCTTATGAAGGACATGTTTTATATTTGGGGCATTGATGAATAATATGAAATAATACAGCGTCCAAAGCACTGTTCAATTTTTGTACCAGTTACATGTACCTTCAACTTTGAAGGCTGGAAAACATCAGCAAAACATCACAGAGCCTCCCAGTCATGGAGTAAATCTCTGGTTGCTCCCAGTTTAGCATGCTAACCAAACTTTGTTCCACATAGGCAAATCATATACATTGGATTTGCAGTACTCATTACTTTGTTCTATGCGCACAACATCCTAGGCTTCCATTTCCAATCACAACTGGAGTTTGAGGAATATGATTCTATCCCTCCACAGTATGATCAGTGAATATTTGGTTCAAAAACGTAAATTAATTTCTTTAGAAAATTCTTGTATGTCAACAGATTTTAGGCATAATCCACGACACAGGGATGGGAGCTTCTCCCAGAGTCCTGGCCAAACTCGTTCAAGTCTCTATGTTTCATCTACCTGTCTACTTCCCTCTTGCAACCCACAATAGACTCTAACCCTATCACCTTATTTGATTGTTCCCACCAATCTCTCCTCACCAGCCCCTCATATTCCTGGCATCATTTGTGCAAATTTTCTCCTCACCCCTCCAAGGCTTTAACATCTTTGCTTAAATGAGGTACCCAAAACTGAAACAGTTTTCCAGTTGGATCTAACCAGTAGTTTGTACTAACATTAAAAATGAAAGAAGTTGGAGTTAAAAGGAAAAGACTTACTTTGGATGTTTGAAAACCATTAAGCAGTGCTTGTATTTGCCAACCATACTCCAGGCCATAATATACGTGTCTTTACTTCCACTGACCAAATGCCACTGGTCAAAAGACAAGCATGTGACAGGTCCATGGTGGCCTTCCAGGATCTAAGGAACCGTACAACAAAAATAGTTATTTTATAAACTCGGTCTTCTGGTCACTTCATGCTGTTCAGTCTTGTACTTCAGATATTTTACTTGGTCATTAGAGCTGGTTAGTTTGCAAACACATTATATATTTTTCAACATTAAATCAACTATTCCTAAGATTAATTGTTAGTTTGAGAGGCTGTTAAGGGGAGATCTGATTGAGGTGTTAAAAATAATTGGGGGAATTGACAAGCTAGAATTGACATGCGCTTCCCTCTCATAGGCGGATCAACAAAAAGAAGACAGCATCTTAAAATTAGACCTGAATTGGATAGCAGTGAGTTGAGTCCACTTTCCTCTATCCCAACCACATTGCCCCTCTCCATCGCTTCATCACCCAGAAAGCTGAAACCTCATCCAATCTTTTGTCCCATCCAAACTTGATTTCTCCAATGGAATCTTCCAAGCTCAACATTTTACAAGCTCCGAATTAAACAGAAATCCACAGCACATAAACTTTCCCCCACTAAGCATTTGATAACCCATCACCTCCATTTTTGATGTGCTCCACCCTGTTCGAAAAGGAAACTGTCATTCTAACTTTCAAATGCCTCTATGCCTAATCACTACCCTAACCTGTGCTCTCCTGTGGTCCTATTATCTTCTATTCTACAAACTCAGGCCTGCACTACATCCCCTGTCCCTTCCACTGCATTATCAGGGAATGACCTTATAGACTTAGGAAGGATATCAGGGCCTTGGAGATGGTGCGAGAAGATTTACAAAATGATACCAAGGATGAGGGACAACAATTATGTGAAGAGACTAGAGAGGCTGGGATATTCTCCTTAGTGTAGACAAGGTTGAGGGGAGAATTTATAGAGGTGTTCAAAATTATGACAGAATGAACAGGAAACTGTTTCCTCTGGCAGATGGGTCGGTAACCAGAGGACACAGATTTAAGATAATTGGTAAAAGAACAAGAGGGAGATGAGGAGAATTTTTTTTTACCCAGAGAGTTGTTACGGTCCGGAATGCACTGCCTGAAAGGGTGGCGGAAACAGATTCAATAATAGCTTTCAAAGGAGAATTGGATAGGTACATAAAAAGGAAAAATGTGCAGGGCTATGAGGTAAGAGATGGGGAGTGGGACTAATTGGTAGCTCTTTCAAAGAGCAGGCACGATAAGGCGAATGGCCTACGATTCTATCTCCCTTTTAACTGACAACTCAATTTTGTATCTACAACTTTCTAGGATACCCATTGCACTTTCTTCCAACTGTCAGTGTAATAATAATAATAATAATCCTTGCATTTGATTTAGCGCTTTTCACGTCTTCTAGACATCCCAAAGTGCTTCACAGAATATACTGTAAAGTGAATTGACTGTATATTTGTGGGCGAACGCGGCAACCAATTGCGCACAGCAATGTCCCAAAAACAGTCATGGATTGAAAATGACCAATTTATTATTGTTTTTGGTTTTGGAGGGATTATTATTAGGCTCTGTGTGGAGTAAGGAAACTTGCCCAAGGTTTCGCCCTCTGCCTGGAATTGAACTCAGGTCTCTCGCTCGCAAAGCGAGTGCTCTAACCACTGAGTTACAGGACTCCACGAGAGAACTTGCAGATAGGATACTGAATATTTTCCCGCATGAGTCACTGCTTCTAATACCTTGATGACTGAAGGTGGGCTCACGTTCCAGACTTTCACTATCCCCTGCTCACAGGAGCTTACCACAAACTGTTCACTGATTTTCACAGCCAGGATGTGCTTTGAGTGCATAAAGTTGCAGATAGTTTTTCCTGTCAGAAGGTTCCAGACTGGCAGGAAAAGAAAAGCATGTTAAGAAATTCACCATAAACTATACCCTTCATTTCAGCGCCTTGGGACGTCCTCCTGACGTGAAACGCGCTTTATAAATGGAATCTTGTTGTTGTTGTTGTTGTTGTTGTATTGGTTCCCTACCCGACATGATGCTTGAAACAGGACTGTGCACAGATAATTACAACTGTGGGAAAAAATGTGATGTTTTGTAACCATTATTTCAGAAGTTTGTATTTTAGTGACTACAGAAAGGAAGAGGTACTTTAGCCCACTGAGCCTATATCCTGGGGCCCCAAAGCAATGGGTTTTGAAAGAGAGTTCCAGAGTGGGTGTGTAATGACCAAAGGTCCAGTTTATGATAGTGGGATGGTGGAGTGAGGAACGAGCTGCAGACCAAAGCTGAAATGGAGAAGGTCTGAGTGGGAGTAAAATTATTACAGAGCTGGGATGAAGGGGAATGATTGTGGAGTGATTTGAAGTTCAGGACAAGGATCTTGAAGTTGATCTAGGTTTGCTACATTTATTTCGATTGGGAGATCACGGAATTTGTGACAATCAGGGTGGCCAATCTCAGACGGAGGGAGCAGGACACAGTACATTCATTTTACAAGTTCCACCTACAGTGTCTCACCTTTAACCTGGCAGTCTTTCCCCCCTGAAACCATCTTGTTTTCATGCAGGGCGAGACAAGTAACCGTTCCTATGTGGCCTCGGAAGACGTTCAAACAATTGCCGTTCTTCAGGTTCCACTGTCTAACAGACAAACAAAAACAGGTTTATATAACTATTGAGGGTGAGGGTTATCAAGCTACTTGTTGTTGAGGATTGTATCCTAAAGAAATGTGTATCAAAGGCCCAACCTGATGCTGAGGTCGTAGCTGCCACTGATCACAAAGCCCCGCTTCTCACAGATGATCAAGGCCTTGATGCCTGCAGTGTGTCCCTGGATTACGAGGGGCAGCTCTTTGGCTTGCTTGATATCTAACAGTCTGATATGTTTGTCCGATGAGCCAGTTGCTATCAGTTGTTCACCAGCATAATCAATTACCCTGTTGGGGTTGCTCCTAAATAGAAATGATCAGACATGATGAAATGAAATGATCAGACTGCTGTCTTTTTTTCTATTGTTGAGATGAAAAAATGTGACGCTTTATTTATTCAATACAAAGAATAATGATGATAAAAATAATGTGCGGTTATACAGCGCTTTTCAAGTTAAAGCAAATGAATCAAGGTTCTTTAAAAAACATAAAGGTTTAGAAATTATTTGAATATTGTTATATTGGCAAACATAGCAGCTGATCTGAATAAGCAACATCCCATAATCAACAATGAGATGTGCTGCTAATTTACTTGAATATTTGAGGGTAACTTTGATGTAAGAGGGTAATCCAAAGAAAGGGAAAGCAATGTCCCAAAGCAACGAGAGAAAAAAATTGAATAAGAAGAAAAGGAAGAAGATGAAAGGAAGAAAGAGAGAAGAGAAAATAATGAAAGTCAGAGAAATCATAAACATGGGTAAAGGGTAGCAGCAAACATGCAAGGTCAGAGGGCATTAGAAACATGACATAAGATAGTTCTGCTTCAAATTGGGATTGCAAGAATAGAATTGGACTGAAGTTATTTAAAATATTCAGGAATTAAACTGCGAGTTTTGGAGTTAATGCATTTATGGCAAGCTGTACTTACTCTTCTTTAAGTATCAGTACATTGTATGGCCCACAGAAAACATTCCTCTCCTCCATCTGTATTATTTCAGTCCGAAACCCGTTGTACATGGGTATCAGAGCTAATGTTTGCTGTAAAAGTTCACACATTATTCTCATGAACACTCAAAGAGAAAACCATCCTATTCCAATTCTTTGGACACAATTTCTGTGCAACATTAAACAGATCGCATTGCTCCCCATGTCAGGGCTTAAAAAATTTAATAACTTTTATTTTAAACCTATTCAGGAACAGACTGTTGTCAGGATCATCCTCTCAGTTCATGTTTATTTATCAGTAAAGGACTCAGGAATTGGGGTAGAAATTCCACTTGAATCAACATTTGCTCCGTTTTATCAGCATTCCAGAGCATCCAGAAATTGGCATTTTTAAATACCGTATAGCCTTAATTTTGAAATCCATTTTCTTGTTAGTTCTTTGAAGACCTAATGTCTTCGAGATGCCTCAAAGCACTTCACAAAATATACCATAAAGTGAATTGACTGTATATTTGTTGGTGAAACGCGGCAGCTAATTGTGCACAGCAGGGTCCCACAAACAGACTTGGATTGAGTGACCAAAATTATTATTGTGTTTTTTTCTCGAGGGGTTATTATCCTTGGAAAAGCGATCTGCCATTCGACTAACAACCGGATTCCTACTTACTGCTAGGTAAACAAAGACATGTGGAGTAAGGAAACTTGCCCAACATTTCGCTTGCTGGGAATCGAACCCAGGTATCTTGCTTGTGAGGCGAGTGCTCTAACCACTGAGCAACAGGACTATGTTCTGTGAAGTGCTTTGCGATGTCTCGTTGACATGAAAGGATCTATATCAAATGCAAGGATTATTATTATAGAACTTCATAGTTGAAACTGAACTCCATAGTTATCCAAACTCTGCATGCTCTCAAATGCTAAGAAATAGAGAAAATGTAAACATGTAAACTCAGATGGAATATCTCCTCTGTCATTCCATTAATCAACTTCCCTTGGCCTAGAAATAAATTGTTTTTTTTGTACTGTTTTTTGTTGTTCTCCCTTCCCCCTTCCCCCCCCCCACCCCCCCCAAACATTGGGAAAAATACAAAATACACTAGTTTCCTACTACACAAACTTTTTATTTCATCTCTAAACTAAGGGTGGAGCGGGGCAGTGTGGGGTAGGGGAGGCAGAGGATATTTTTTCAAATTTTTCTTTAATGTTTGCTGTACTGTTTGTACTCTGGTATTACAATCATTTAACCCCTGGGGGCTGCTGCATACAGCCTAATGGTTTGCAATTCCACAGTAGTGCTGTCAAGGCTGTGTGTTCCACAGTGGGAAGCATTGTGGCTTTTTAATAAGCAAATTAAATTTAAGAAAATCTTGTATCCAGCAGAACGACTGAAGTAGTCTATGATGAGATAGCTGCCCGCATTGAGAAATTAAATTAGCTTTGGCTCCCCCGCTCCCGGCCCCCTCCTACCCCTACCCTTCCTACCCCACTCTCCCACCACCTAGGTTGATGCACCAGTAAATTTTACCTTGGGTTTTATTGTAACTGATGGAATGTCATAATCAATCATGATATGTCCGTCTGTATCGACGTTCGGGACAGGAATACCAATGACTTTGGCATATACTGAGCTGACCCCTTGTGCTGCTGTCCCCTGCAAAACAAAGATGGTTAGAAAAAGAAGTCAAAGCCCAATGCTTTAATCCCCAGTGATCCTAATTGTACATTTTATTAGTCCCTTTACTCATTCTCTAATCTTCCTCTCCCAGTTAACTATCAAGAAACCTTATCTCCTAGAGTCCCACTCTCCCAGACAGTCTGTCCTAGGTTAAAAAGCACATTTCTCTTACAAAATCTATAATATAGTACTCTGCCACCTGCCCCATAGGTTACACAGAACGATGTCCTGTATCAGCGTACAGAACTCTGCCCTGCACCAGTTAAATATTCTCATTTCTACTTCGAAAATGATTTTATGAGAACTCTTGCGCCTCTTGCTTTATGGGGAAGATGTCATAAACAGCTCCTTTTTTTAAAGATGAGATTTCTGCTACCTTGATGCAGGGAATGGATCTGCAGATGTCAGAGTGAGACAAAGCTGGTTCCAACAGTTCAAAAAGTCCAACAATCCATCACTGAGAGTGGATAGCCAAACCAGGCACACCATGTGTGCTTCAATTTACGGAACTCAGACTTGAAGCTGAGGCTCGGTTTATGGAACCACCTCAAACTAAGATTGCTGCTTACCAGGGGAATTGGTAGGAGAGGTAGTCTGTAAATTAATGAGGGTGTTGAGGGCACAGATTGGGTCATTTTTTAGCAGGTCTACTGAGGCTCCTAAGTGTGGATGATGCCCCACAGCAGGAGTCTGAGTAAGTGTAGCTGAGAACAGCGTTCTCCAGAGGTGGAAAGAAAAAGAGGAGAGATTGGAGACAAGAGAGGGGATATGAAGGTGCAGAGAGGAAGTTTTACTGTACAATTAACCAACACTCTAAGTCTTTCAGTTGCTATAAGTACCTCAACTATTCTCGGTTCTGCACGCTTCGGTTTGATTAGCTTTATTTTCTTGACGTTTTGCTTCTCTGGTGACTTCTTGCATTTTTCTGCGTGAGTCAATTTTCGTGAACTTTTCTTGCTTCTTTGTTCTTTCTCTGCTTTGCCCTCTTTACGCTTTTTTACACTGCTCTTTATCTTTTTCGCCCGTTCTTTGCCACCTAGTTTCTTTCGTTCGTGTTTGTCATAGTAAGGAGAAGCGTAAGATATAGTTCTTGCCCCCAAACACATGGGGAGGAAAGGGGAGGAGCCCATTTTCACAACTGTTCAAAACAAGGCAAGTGCGTCATTTGCAACATTGCCACTGCTTTGGAGATATTCCAAGACATCAACTCAATTAGTGTTGAAAACCGAGGCAAATTTATTCTTTAACACCAGAAATAAGTGGAGTCCTGTAACTCAGTGGTTACAGAGCACTCGCCTCGCGAGCGAGAGACCTGCGTTCGATTCCCGGCAGGGCGAAATCTTGGGCACGTTTTCTTACTCCACACGCTTGAGATAAATATCGCTCAAGAAAAAAAACAATAATAAATTGGTCACTTCAATCCATGACTGTTTGTGGGACACAACTGTGCACAATTGGCTGCCGTGTTTTGCCCACAAATATACAGTCAATTCACTTTACAGTATATTCTGTGAAGCGCTTTGAGACGTCTAGTAGACGTCAAAAGCGCTATATCAAATGCAAGGATTATTGTTATAATAGGGAAATAGAGTAAAAGGGTCACTTGTTTAAAGTCTAGCTGATGTCTTGAAATAGTGGAAGTTTGTTTTGAAAATAGACTCCATTGAAACTCATATAATCCATTCAACTGTCGGGTGAAGCACTTTAGTGCTCAGGAACAGAATACCATGGTGTCAGCATTGAACCATGCTAGTAGAGTCGGATGCATAGTAAAGCACCTAGCACTGTATCCCAACCCCAGCCTAGGCTGGAGTAAACCATCTAGATTCCCATCTAATTATCCTCAAGGTTCATTCCTTGTATCTGTTTCTAAATCTAATAATCAAATCATTTTAGTGTTCAGGGAATTTGTCTTGTTCCTTTCTGAAACCATTTACAGTTCTTGTTGCACCATCTGAGCTGGTAGTTTGTTCTATCACCCTTTAAACAAAAACATTTCACCTATTATTCTATTCTATATTATTATAGTAAATCCTACTTTAACTGTGTTCCCCCCACCGCCCCCAGACAACAATCGTACACACCGTATTCAAACCCAGAATCCTGAGACGAACATATAATGCTCTGCCCAACTAGTCACTGTGGCTGTGCCTCTTTCACAAGTGTGTTCTGGGTATAGTGGTCAAACTAACTCCAGGGTAACAGAGTGTTAGTTGGGCTGCCAATAAAAGTTGGTGTAACCTGAATTTGTGTTGTGGCTGGAATTCCAAAAGGACATCGGAGAGCAACAGCTCCGATCACGGCACATACCCTGCAGTTCTAGCACACACACAAACAGTGCAGTTACAGCACACACATGTTGTGTTTATAGAATAAACAGACTGTGGTGATAGCTTACAAACAGTCACATGCGCCTCCTATAAGTTACTGTTTTCAGTGCCAGCGTCTGCCTCTCACTCATGGTTCTCAGAAAAAAGACAGCCATAGAGGAAGCAGAGTGTGACCACTTGCACTGTACAATACAGCAAACTCAGGCACTAATAACCCTCACACCGCTATCCCAACAGTGTCACAGGTTACGAAAATCTTCACACAGCTTGAATTTTCAATCAGACTGTAGAGAAAGCTCTGAATGGTAAGTCAGCCTTTCAATTACATTTTGATTCTCCAGAAGCTATAACATGGTCTTGTTATAACTTCTGGACAGTGGTGCCATGCATATGCAAATGGAGTGATCTATAAACTCACCAAAGTTTATCTGGTTGAAATTAAAGCTAGAAAATCAAATTAAAACTGTTGGAGATCCAAGTCTTGCTTGCACCTTATCATGTGAAGAATATAGAGGTGCAAAAAGCTTTGCTATAATATAAGCAGTACTCAGGGACAAGACTGACACTGAATGATACCTTCATTGTCTGGGACTCCTGAAGAATAAATAGTTGAGTCTGCATGTCCTTCTCAATCTCGGTGGTCAGACAATTCCAGTGACGGGAGACAGACAGGCAATTCTTCTGTGACGTCAGATCCAACATACCTAATAAAACAAAGGCTACATTAATAGGTGCTTGCCATTTTAGAACAATTATTTTAAGGTGCATATGAGGGAGGGGATGGGAAGAGGGACAGCATAGGGAGAAGGGTAAGGAGGGAGAAAGAAGTAGCAAGCAGAGAGTAAGGGAGAAGAAAAGGAGGGCAAAGGATTGAGCAGGAGGGAAAGAGAGGAGAGTGGTTTGGGGATAGTGTCAGCAAAATGACTGATACTCTTTAAATAACTAAAGTTAGTTTTGAGATAATAACCCACTTCAATTCCCAATTTCGCAATGTCACAATTATTAGGATGTAACATACAATATTACTAATGGGATTTCTTATTACAGAATAGAATGGGGTCTCTGAATTGCGTCAACTCAACCCAGGGAAAGTAATTTCTCCAAATAGACTGCATCGGAGCACAACTCCTGCGAATTATCATGGGGTGCTTCCAGTTTTCGTATTTCTTATTAATTAACAAGGAATCCGACCCGGAAATGGCGCATGTTAGTCTTTGTTGTGCAGTCTGCTACGAAGATTTATTACTAAAATACTGACAGCACTAACTAGAACTACTAGCCGCCTGGTGGGTTTGTGGTGACTCAGCTTTCAGCAGTGCGTCTACAACAATCTCAATATAAAGAAGGGGATGAATGAAAGAACAAATGTTTGAACCCACGAGCCAGCTAACGTAACATCAATGGGGAAGGGTGAGAGAGGTGGGGGGGGGGGGGGGGGGTCTGCTCTGCACTTCAGTACAATACAAAATACATTTGCATATGCATGGCACCACTGTCCAGAAGCTATAACAAGACCATGTAGTGCTTTTTAGGTCAGAGTCAGTCAGGGATTTGGACCCAAGTGGGGGCAGGGGGGGTTTGGGGTAGAGTTGGAGGCAGGGAGGGAAAGAGGGTGGCTGAAGGCACGGTCAAAGAGGGGGGTCTTGAGACATGCTTTAAAGAAGGTAAGAGAGGGAGCAAGGTGAGGGGAATGTGGGATGGAGTTCCAAAGGGTGGGGGCGGCTCAGATGGTGCAACAACAGCTGCTGTCCCAAAATCTTTTTCTAAAAAAAATTACAGCTTACCAAGAATATATTTTGACAGATGAACAGGAAGACAGCGGATAAAGTCCTTGTTTTTACTGACCCCTGAGGTAGACTTGAAGGAAGTGGCAACTATCATCAGAGCTGGATTTTCAGAGTTCTGAGAGGGATCATCGCAGAACTTCATTTCCTTTTTCCAAGACATTAGATCGTCCTTTTGTCTTTTTATTTCGCTGTGCAACAACGTTGATTTCATATGGGCCACTGAGAAAAATGAATATCTTTGAATGATTTGCGTGTGGACATGCCAGCTTCAGTAGGTTTCCAGACACTGTTAATGTGCTTTCTGGTTTCTCTCCCTAAACTACAAACAACTTCCTTCCTTGGCCAGAAGGAAATGTCACCAACATCAGACTCAACCAGTCAGCCATCAATACAATACTTCTCATTTCAACTTGATACCAAAGTTGGTTACACACGGCAGCCTGCCACTTATGGTAATGAAAATTGGTACAATTAGGATTCTTTAGAAATATACTATACCACCTCACTTCAAGGAGGTTGGATATTAAATGGCTCTGCTCTCTGGAAGAGGGATCCAAAAAAAGGGGACTTGATGTTAAGATTAGAGCTAAAGTAGTTAAGACTTAGAGATCAGAATACACTTCTTCACACAAAGGGCTGTGAGCTGTGGAACACACTGCTCCAAACAGGTCTAGAAGCAGCACAATTGGGATGCTTAAAGGGAAGGTAGATAATAATAATCCTTGCATTTGATGTAGCGCCTTATCACATTGTCGCAACGTCTCAAAATGCTTCACAAGATATACTGTAAAGTGTTTTGAATGTGTATTTTTTTGTGGGTGAAACGCGGCAGCCAATTGTGCCAGCAATTGCCCACAAACAACAACAAAATTACATTTGTATAGCCTGGAGTGAGTGTCCAGTTTTATTTTATTTTACTTTATTTGGGGGATTTGTTGGCCAGGACACTGATCTCTTTTTGAATAGAGCCTTGGGATCTTTAACCTCCACCTGAACAGACAGACTGGACATTGGTTTAACATCTCATCTGAAGGACACCACCTCCAACAGTACAACTACCCCCCAGCACTGCATTGGAGTGTTATCTTAAAGTGATTCCAAGTCCCGATATACGGTTTGAACCCACAACCTTCTGACTCAGTGGTGAGAGTATTACCATTGAGCTAGACTTACACACTTGGGATAGATACTTGGGAAGTATGGAGTCCTGTATCCCAGTGGTCAGAGCACTCGCCTCGCAAGCAAGAGGTCCTGGGTTCGATTCCCGGGCAGGGCGAAACATTCGGCAAGTTTCCTTACTCCACACCCCTCTGTTTACCTAGCAGTAAGTAGGAATCCAGTTATTAGTCGATTGGCGGATCGCATTTCCGGGGATAATAATCGCTTCAGAATAAATAAAAAATAATTTGATCACTCACTCTGATAAGGCACTATTTTAAGTGCAAGAATTATTATTATTATTATTATTAAGGAGAATGAATAAAAGGTACGAAAATAGGATTTCAAGATCTGCCATGGTCTAATAATTATAATAATTCCTGCATTTGATTCAGAGCATTTCATGTCTTCTAGACATCTCAAAGCGATTCACAGAATATACTGTAAAGTAAATAGACTGTATATTTGCGGGGGAAACGCAGCAACCCATTGTGCACAGCAGTGTCCCACAAACAGTCATGGACTGAGTGACCAAATTTTTTTTATCCCCGGAAAAGCGATCTGCCAATTGACTAACAACCAGGTTCCTACTTACTGCTAGGTAAACAGAGGCGTGTAGAGTAAGCAAACATGCCCAATATTTTGCGCTGCCAGAAATAGAATCCAAGTGTCTAACCACTGAGCTACAGGACTCCACTAATAATAATCCTTGCATTTGATATAGCGCTTTTCACGTCTTCTAGGTGACTCAAAGCACTTCACAGAATTTGCTGTAAAGTGAATTGATCATATATTTGTGGACGAAACGCGGCAGCCAATCGCACACAGCAGCGTTCCACAAACAATCGTGGATTGAAAATGACCAATTTTTTTTGTTGTTTTGGAGGGATTATTATTATTAGGCTAATAAACTGGCAATGCAAATTCAATGACTCCTGAATGCTTCTGTCATATTTCCAAAGCTCAAGGAGATGGGAAGGAGTGTGCATCATCACTGAGCTGCCTTATTCTCCATATTAACCCATTATGTCCAGTTTGGGCTTAGAATGCACTCTCAGTTTTAGAATCAGAATTAGAGCTAACAATGGTTAAACACAAAGCTCCATTTGCTTCAGCACAGCTGTACAAAAGTTGTGTCACTCGCAGACTTTATATTAACAGTTTACCTGGCAGAAAACCAGCCACTGTTAGTGATGCTTCTGAGCAGAAATAATAATAATAATAATAATAATAATCCTTGCCTTTGATATAGCGCTTTTCACGTCAGGAGGACGTCCCAAAGCGCTTCACAGAACACACTGTAAAGTGAATTGACTGTATATTTGTGGGCGAACGCGGCAGCCAATTGCGCACAGCAATGTCCCACAAACAGTCGTAGATTGAAAATGACCAATTTATTATTGTTTTTGGTTTTGGAGGAATTATTATTAGGCTCTGTGTGGAGTAAGGAAACTTGCCCAAGGTTTCGCCCTCTGCCTGGAATTGAACTCAGGTCTCTCACTTGCAAAGCGAGTGCTCTAACCACTGAGCGACAGAACTCCACAACTTAGCAGTAAGTTGCTAAGATGTGAGAAGAGTTTGCCAACTCACTGTTATCCCCTTGTTTCTGCTCCATCTGTGATTAGCAAAACACAGTAGCCTGGCAACAAAATATTGGTCTGTGCTGACATGTGAATAACAGACTAGGGGAGAAGTTGTGAACCTTATTAAAACATCACCGACATCATTCTGAAACAGAAGCCCTTCTTAGTTGTTACTGATTTACTAATTTGTGAGGCTCGCTAAATGCTCAGGGCTACAACTGCTGCAGGCGCTGTTGGAAAATTCTGAATAAAGCTGAAAAATCACAGCAATAGTAATGGATATTTTCAACACAGGAGACTGATCAGTTAGTCAATCAATCGTGTCCTCTGTGCTACTATTATCTCTGCTATCTTTGCTAGGTCTTTTTTTAAATATATTTAAAAATCTCGAAATGCAGGAGTGGAGTCCTGTAGCTCAGTGGTTAGAGCACTCGCTTTGCAAGTGAGAGACCTGAGATCAATTCCAGGCAGAGGGCGAAACCTTGGGCAAGTTTCCTTACGCCACACAGAGCCTAATAATAATCCCTCCAAAAAACCAAAAACAAGAATAAATTGGTCATTTTCAATCTACGACTGTTTGTGGGACATTGCTGTGCGCAATTGGCTGCCGCGTTCGCCCACAAATATACAGTCAATTCACTTGACAGTATATTCTGTGAAGCGCTTTGGCGGAACATCCTCCCGACGTGAAAAGCGCTATATCAAATGCAAGGATTATTATTAACATTGTTATTCACATTTCACCGATTTCTGTGACCATGGCAGAAATGTGAACCCTATTTTTGGCAGCTTTTTCAAACCCCTTTTCTCCTCGACACCCCCAGAATATGAAGATGCTGCATCTCTCAACAAATCCACCGACTAGAGTTTCTTTGGGGTGTTTTTTTTTGCTGTTGTACCTGTTGTCTCACACATCACCATGGTTTGCTTTCTGAGAATGAGCAAACGGATCAGATTGCCGGTGACGTGAAGCAGCTCAGAGTCGCACATGTGCAGCAAACCCAGAGAGTAATTCACTTTCGTCCAATATTTACTCAGCACGAACCACTCCCAGGTCTCCATCATGGTCTTCCTCAGGAAGTCCCTGTCCAGAGCGCGGTCGCTGCTCTGGTTGCTCATGTCCTCGGTCAGACTGGGGATGATTCGGGATCGGGAGTAAGTGTAGTCTTTGCTGGTGGTCGGTTGGAGAACCCGAGAGATCTGCTGCAGGAGGTCCAGACTGTGAAACCTGCGGACTATCCCCGACAGGAAGCGCCTCTTGGAGAGCTCTCCGGCTCTGGGGAACCACTGCGCGGTGATGTCCAACTTGGCCGAGAGGACGCACGTTTCGCAGGAGCCGCACGGGACCGTGAAGCAGCCGTCGTAGAAGCACCTGCGCGTCAGACTGGTCCCCAAGTGAAACTCGGTGACTTCCCGACTCCTCGGGACGTCCATGTCCCCGGTACCGACCCCGAGAGCGGCGCCTCGGGTCGGATTATACCGCACCCGGTGGGATCTCCCGAGGCAACTGCTGGAAGTTTGGGGGAGAGATCCGGCAGGTCTGGGTGGGTGTCTGGGTGGGTGTCTGTGTGTGTGTCTGGGTGTGTGTCTGTGTGTGTGTGTCTGTGTGTGTGTGTGTCTGTGTGTGGTGTGTGTGTCTGTGTGTGTGTGTGTGTGTCTGGGTGTGTGTGTGTCTGTGTGTGTGTGTGTCTCTGGGTGTGTGTGTCTCTGGGTGTGTGTCTGTGTGTCTGGGTGGGTGTCTGTGTGTGTGTGTGTCTGTGTGTGTGTGTCTGTGTGTGTGTGTGTCTGTGTGTGTGTGTGTGTGTGTGTGTCTGGGTGTCTGTGTGTGTGTGTGTGTCTGGGTGTGTGTGTGTGTGTGTGTGTCTGGGTGTGTGTCTGTGTGTGTGTGTGTCTGGGTTGTGTGTGTGTGTGTGTCTGTGTGTGTGTGTGTCTGTGTGTGTGTGTCTGGGTGTGTCTGTGTGTGTGTGTGTGTCTGGGTGTGTGTCTGTGTGTGTGTGTCTGGTGTGTGTGTGTCTGTGTGTGTGTGTGTGTCTGTGTGTGTGTGTCTGTGTGTGTGTGTGTGTGTCTGTGTGTGTGTGTCTGTGTGTGTGTGTGTGTGTCTGGGTGTGTGTGTGTCTGTGTGTCTAGGTGTGTGTCTGGGTGTGTGTGTCTGGGTGTGTGTCTGTGTGTCTGTGTCTGTCTGGGTGTGTGTCTGGGTGTGTGTCTGGGTGTGTGTCTGTGTGTGTGGGTGTGTGTCTGGGTGTGTGTCTGGGTGTGTGTGTGTGTCTGGGTGTGTGTCTGGGTGTGTCTGGGTGTGTGTGTGTGTCTGTGTGTCTGTGTGTGTGTCTGTGTGTGTGTCTGTGTGTGGGTGTGTGTCTGGGTGTGTGTGTGTGTGTGTCTGGGTGTGTGTCTGTGTGTGTGTCTGTGTGTGGGTGTGTGTCTGGGTGTGTGTCTGTCTGTGTCTGTGTGTCTGGGTGTGTGTCTGTGTGTGTGTGTGTGTGTGTCTGTGTGTCTGTGTGTGTGTGTCTGTGTGTGTGGGTGTGTGTCTGGGTGTGTGTCTGTGTGTGGGTGTGTGTCTGGGTGTGTGTCTGTGTGTCTGTGTGTGTGTGTGTCTGTCTGTGTGTGTGTGTGTCTGTGTCTGTGTGTCTGTGTGTGTGTCTGTGTGTCTGTGTGTGGGTGTGTGTCTGTGTGTGTCTGGGTGTGTGTCTGTGTGTGTGTCTGTGTGTCTGTCTGTGTCTGGGTGTGTGTCTGTGTGTGTGTCTGTGTGTGTGTCTGTCTGTGTGTCTGTGTGTGGGTGTGTATCTGGGTGTGTGTCTGTGTGTGTGTGTGTCTGTGTGTCTGTCTGTGTGTGTCTGTGTGTCTGTGTCTGGGTGTGTGTCTGGGTGTGTGTCTGTGTGTCTGTGTGGGTGTGTGTCTGGGTGTGTGTCAGTGTGTTTGTCTGTGTGTCTGTGTGTGTGTGTCTGTGTGTGTCTGTGTGTCTGTCTGTGTGTGTCTGTGTGTGTGTGTGTGTCTGTGTGTGTGTGTGTCTGTCTGTCTGTGTGTCTGTGTGTGTCTGTGTGGGTGTGTGTCTGTGTGTGTGTCTGTGTGGGTGTGTGTCTGGGTGTGTGTCTGTCTGTGTGTGTGTGTGTCTGTGTGTGTGTGTCTGTCTGTCTGTGTGTGTGTCTGTGGGTGTGTGTCTGGGTGTGTGTCTGGGCTGCTCCTGGCTGGTGGGAGTGGAGTGACCCGCTGGAGGTGTGTGTCTCCCTGTCGGTAATGTTTGATGTCACTTTGCCGTACCTCCGCCGGTTGCTGGGTAGCGTTTCTCAGCGACCAGACGCCACGCAGACTCGGCGGTGTCCTGTCACACAGCCGCACGTAGTCGGCCCCGTCACCATCTTCACCGCCACCATTCCACCCGCACACACCCACCGCCCGGACCTCCCTACCGCACTGTGCGCGTTGTCTCTCTGAGGTCCTCTCGCATTGCAATTGCACTCAGCATTGCTTCAGTCGCTTTAGCGAATGCCACACAGTGGTGACACTTCTCTGCGCCGCAGAGAAACGGCCCCATCGCTATCCCGGTTTGGCTCAGTTTAGCCTCGAGGTTGGAAGGGTGTGGGTTCGTGGCCAATTTNGGGGGTTTGAGCTCACAATCCGAGCTGACACTCCGCCCCGAGCGTTGGGCACGAGCTGCGATGCTGGAGGCGCTGTCCCGAGTCCGAGGTGTGAGACACAGATGTTCAGGAGATGTGAGAGATCCTACAATCCCTCTGAAAACCAAAACAACAACAACAACAACAAGATTCCATTTATAAAGCGCCTTTCAGGTCAGGAGGACGTCCCGAGGCGCTGAGAGACGGCCCATCGCTATCCCGGGAATGCGTTGTTGTTGGTGTCCTGGCCAACTCTCCTCCAGACTGGTACCCATGTCATGGCTGTCTGTGGGCCACGGTGGTGTGCACATTGGCCGCTGCGTTTGCACAGACCGCACATGGGCATTTGAAGCTCTTTTTGGAACTGTAGATGTTATCTCAAATATTATTTTGCTGTGAGAAATTCAAAGACAACCGAGGGGAGAGAAGTGGGGAGCACTTGACTGCATTGGAGTGTCAGGCCAATCCTTGTGCTAATATTGGGGAATTAAATTACAACCTTCCTGAAGCACAGCGGAGAGTGCTTCTCAATTAGCTAAATTCGACATCTAAAACGGAATAAAAGGTACCAACAGAACTCTAGTAATTGATCAATTCATTTCCCAGCCTCAGTGAGTTCAGAAATTCACACGGTTTTAGCCCAGAGAACCATTTTGATTTAAAATGTCATTTTGCATGAAATTATGGACAATTCGTAAACTCTGTTTTACTTTGGGAGCCATTTTCTGTAGTTCACAACAAGAATTCCTAATTGATAAATTACTGTATTTTCTTTGGATTTTGATTACAATACCAAGGGAACCTATAATTCCCTCTAATTCCCTATAATTCTCCATGTGAAGCTTAATAAGCATGTATTGTAAATCCCTTATCAAAGTTGGAAAGCATATGTTGCCTACCACACTTTAAAAACTGTGTAATCTGCTCACCTTTGGCATATTGTGTCCGACAAAACAAAACAGAGGTTTATCGATTAATCTGTGTGAGCGACTGGGCTGATTATACTGAATTACTTACTACATAAAAAATCTTTCCAATTCTGTTGTAGAATATAATTTATGGTTGCAATAAATTTGCAGCTTTTGTTTGGCTCAAAATCAACCATTTATATCCTGTGCCAGCTTGGTTCTGTTGGTGGCACTCTCACCTTTATGTCAGACTCAACCTCACGTTGAGACTTAAAAGCTCATAGCTGGAACTGCCAAATTTTGGATGAGATGCTAAACTACGGTCCTGTATACTTTTTTTGGTGGATGATAAAGATCGCATGGAATTATTTGGATTATGTGAATTATGTGGAGTCCTGTAGCTCAGTGGTTAGAGCACTCGCTTTGCAAGCGAACCTGAGTTCAATTCCAGGCAGAGGGCGAAACCTTGGGCAAGTTTCCTTACTCCACACAGAGCCTAATAATAATCCCTCCCCCCCAAAAAATAAAAAAATTGGTCATTTTCAATCTACGACTGTTTGTGGGACATTGCTGTGCGCAATTGGCTGCCGCGTTCGCCCACAAATATACAGTCAATTCACTTTACAGTGTGTTCTGTGAAGCGCTTTGGGACGTCCTCCCAACGTGAAAAGCGCTATATCAAATGCAAGGATTATTATTATTATTTGAAAAGAGAAGGGAGCAGCAGCCATTGTACATGAATGCCCCATACATTCACCTGCAATAGCTGGAGAAGCAATACAGGATACCCTGTTATAATGTGGTGCTTCAGATTCCCTCACCCCATCACCAAAAAAATATATACACTTCATTATAATGACTCTGTAAAACAAAATGGCCTTTATTCTGCTTCCATGTTATTACTGATGTCACTACAGGGAACTACAAAAGATTCAGGATAAATGGGTTCTTGTGATGTGATTAATAATGCGGTTGCCCTTGTTTTACTGCATGGTTGGAAAGTGAAACTTTAAATGATTGTTTTAAATTTTTTTGAAGCTATTGATTTGTACTCTGTGGAATTAATGAGTGGAATGCACAATGAGTTTAACCCTTTCATTTCATCTGTGTAAACATATAAAGAACAGTAAATGGAGTTTGATGCATTTCAGTCACTCACAGATAATAATAATAGTCTTTGCGTTTGATAAAGTGCCTTATCACGTTTTCAACATGTCTCAAAGCGCTTCACAGAATATACTGTAAAGTGAATTGACTGTATACTTTGTGGGCAAAACACAGCAGCCAATTGTACACAGCAGTGTCCCACAAACAGTCATGGATTAAAGTGACCAANTTTTTTTTAAGGAATTATTACCCCCGGAAAAGCGACCCGGCAATTGACTAACAACCAGGTTCCTACTTACTGCTAGGTAAACAGAGGCGTGTGGAGTTAGGAAACTTGCCCAACATTTCGTCCTGCCGGGAATCAAACCCAGGTCTCTCGTTTGTGAGGCGAGCGTTACACTGAGCTACAGGACTCCACTGTATGACACAGCTAGATAGAAAATGTGTGAATGCGCAACCATCAACGAACATAGTTTATGTTAGCGTTAAATAAGAAACACCACAGATGTTGCCTTTTTGTATAATAATAACCTTGCATTTAATATATCACCATATCATGTCAAAACACTTCACAGAACATACACTTCAGAAAGTGAATTGACTGTATATTTTCTGGCCTGATATAGGAATAGAAGGGAGCATATTCATTTGAGAAAATTTGCTGATGGGATAAGGGTAAGTTCTTAAAAGGACAGATAGATTAAACAAGTGGACAGAATAATTGTAGACGGAGATTCACATAGTAAAGTGCACTTTGGTCATTGGAATAAGGTAAAGGAATCCTTTCTAAATGGCGAAGAAATAAGAAGATAGAATCATGGACCATAACAGCACAGAAACAGATTATATTTCCCCCCACATGAACCACCTCAGCTAATTGCACTCTCTTGTTCATTTCTCCCTCACTCTTTAATACACTGGTTCTTCAATTTTCTTATTCCCTCTGGAAAGAATTTACAGACTCTGTATCAACAATGGTTTATAATAGAGAATTCTAAATTCCAACCACCCCCCGAGTAAAGATGCGGTCAACTTCCACATCTATGTGAATGACACCCGATTCTACCTTTCTGCCTTCACCCTCAACTCCAGGACTACTGCTGTCCTGACAGACTGTCTGTCAGACATCAATTCCTGGATGAGGGCAAATTTCCTACAGTTGAATGTGAACAAGACTGAGGCCCTCCTGATTGGCTCGCGCCAGCGCCTCTGCACCTCAGACTCACCAGCCAGTCAGGAACCCAGGTGTCCTGTTCGACCCTCAACTGTCTTTTCTTCCCCACATCCAAACCATGAACCGCTCTGCCTTCCCTCACCTTCGTAACATCACCCGACTTTGCCACTACCTCACCCCTCAAGCCGCTGAAACTCTTGTTCATGCCTTCATCACTTCCGGGCTCGACTATGTAAACGCTCTGCTTGTCGGCCTTCCCAACTCCTCCCTCCACAGGCTGCAGATAATCCAGAACTCTGCAGCCCGTGTCCTCTCCCGCACCAAACTCCATGACCCCATTTCTCCATTCTCACCCGACTCCATTGGCTCCCTAACCTTCAGAGGATTCAGGTCAAGATCCTGGTCCTCACCTACAAAGCACTCCATGGCCTCACCCCACCCTACCTCTGCGACCTCCTAACCCCCTACCAACCCGTCCGCTCCCTCCACTCAGCCGGCTCTGACCTGCTCCACATCCCCCGACCCACCATTGGTGGGAGAGCCTTCAGCCACTCTGCCCCCAACCTCTGGAATTCCATCCTCCAGTCACTCCGCCTCACCCCCTCCTTAGCCTCCTTCAAGTCCTGCCTCAACATCTTCCTCTTCGACCGTGCCATCGGCCACCCACCTTCCCTCCCTTCTCCCCCCCACCCCCCGACCCCAGCTCGGGTCTGAAAGGCTGTACACTGTCCAGCGCCTTGGGACATCCTCCCGACATGAAGGGCGCGAGGCGGGGGAGTGGGACTGATTTGAAGAGAGGGGGGGAGGAGGAGGGGGGTGTCGCGTGACCGCTAGGTGGCGCAGGCGCAGTGCAGGAGCAGCGCGAGGCCGCCAGGTGGCGCAGGCGCAGCGCGCGGGGGGGCAGCGCGAGGTCGGCGCAGGCGCAGTGCGGGGGGCGGCGCGAGGCCGCGGGGTGGCGCAGGCGCAGTGGGAGGCGGCGGTGCGGCTGATGGCGGGGGGGGGGAGCGGGAGCGGGAGGGGGGGAGCGCGCGCGCGCGGCGCTGCACGAGAGCGGGGCGGGAGGGCAGAGCGGAGCCGCCGCGGCTGCTGCAGTCACAGCGCGATGCCGCTTCTCACCTAAGTCTGTGGCACCTCAGCGGCGGTGTCGGCGGCCGCGGAGGAGAAGGATTTATTATCCCGGCGGTCAGAACATCCCCCCCCACCCCCCCCTCCCCAACTCACCCCTCACACCCCCCTCACAGACCTATCGATCACTGACTGACATGTTCGTGCGCTCGATCTCCGGCACAGGATGAAGAAGCAATTCAATCGGATGCGACAGCTCGCCAACCAGACGGTGGGGAGGTAAGGGCGGGCGAGTCACTGCCGCCGCCCGCGGGGTCCTGTCCTGTACCGACCCCCCGCGAGCAGGAGAGCAGCAGTTGGGTGCAGCTTAGCGCAGCAATGCAGGGGGTTTGGGTGTGTGAGGGGGGGCTGGTGAAGGGGGGGGCTGGTGAGGGGGGGGGAGGTGGGGCGGGGGTGAGGGGGGCTGGTGAGGGGGTGAGGGGGGCTGGTGAGGGGGAGGTGGGGCGGGGGGTGAGGGGGGCTGGTGAGGGGGGGCTGGTAAGGGGGTGAGGGGGAGCTGGTGAGGGGGGGCTGGTGAGGGGGTGATGGGGGAGAGGGGGAGGGGGTGAGGGGGAGGCGAACGAATCTCACTTCAAACCACCTGGATGGAATGTGCAAGGTGGGGGGGACGCAGCAAGAGGAGGGTCAGTGGGGGGGTTCTCGGGGAGGGAGGGAAGGCGAGGAACTAAATGCCCATCAAACTAACGCAAGTGGTTCAAATTGACCGTCGATTGATCGGTTTCAATGTGGGGGGGGAGAGAAAATCATATTTCTTGCCCCCCCCCCCCCACACACACACACACACTCCTGCTCGTATGCGTCATTGTTTATGCGGAGGGTGGGAATTGCCCCCAAAGATGACTGTTCGCTGTATATAGATTATGTCTGTGTTAAAAAATTACTGAGTGAGACGTGACATCTCAGGAAGTGTCAAAGAGAGTCAGTCCCGTGTGTGTAGCGAAGGATTTAAAGAGCCGCGGCGTGTGGTACTGCGGTGCTGAGAGTGAGGAGGAGGCGCCGTGCAGTGGAGCGAGCGTCTGTCTGTCTGTCTGTCTCTCTCTCTGTTTGTGTCTCTGTCTCTCTCTCTGTCTGTCTCTCTCTCTGTTTGTGTCTCTGTCTCTCTCTCTGTTTGCGTCTCTTGTCTCTCTCTGTCTGTCTGCCTGTCTCTCTCTGTCTGTCTGTCTGTCTGTCTCTCTCTGTCTGTCTGTCTGTCTGTCTGTCTGCCTGTGTTCCTGTCTGTCTGTTTACTGCACCCTTTGACATGGCAAAGTAAAGCCATTCCGTCCCGGGTTCCCCATTTGTCCTTCTGTGGCTCTGTAGCTATTGCATTTACTGGAATTGTTCAAGAGACAGCGACCTTGTCTGCTCTGTGTACATTGCCTTTCCCAGACGGTGGCATATCACTTATATCACTTGAGGATGTACACCGCGCGCTATAGAATCTACCGACATAACAGTAATAACGGGGGGTGCAGGTGTGGGGATGTGCTGCAGTTTTTCTTTTGTACATTTGACCTGGTTTGGTGTTTTGTTTTCTCTCCCTAACCTTTTTGTGGGTTAAACCCCCGCGAGTGTGTTTTACGTTGATGTGCTCCTTTTGCGGTTGCATTGCAGCATTGACAGTAATTCATTTCACTAGTTCAGCGCTGTGTACTGTCAGCAATTGTTGTGAGGTCAGAGTATTTGCTGCTTTCCCCCTGAGCTGACTGTGCAAGCTCCAGCTCAGCGTTTTACCCAGTCTGTAAATCAATTAGATTATTGTCTGTGTGTATTTGTGAAGGGGTGGGGGGGAGGGGAGCGGGGTGATCTTATTTTTCAACATCTTGTTCTTGCAAAGATACTGCAAATGGAGATTGGTGAGCTGATAGAGGTCGAGACATGGTCCTTCATTGGTAAATGTATCGGCACATTATAATTGTATCTCTCCCATCTGTGCTGGTCTTAGGGGACCAGGTATTTTTGGAACCTATTGCTCCATCATTTTAGAAACCGCTTCCAGTATCATGTTTTTTTAAAAAATCAATTTAATATGGAAGGTTGAACTTGAAATTCAAAGACCCGTAACTGGAATGGCAATTTGGACTATTTTTTCCGAGAATCTTCATGTTTTTTAAAAAAATCTTCCAATTTATGATGTGGATCAATACGTTAATAATTCTAAAATGGGAATTTAAGTAGCAGCTAATCGTGCTTAAACATGTGTTAGATGCTGTCATACTATATGGCTGGTCTCATCTATTCTTGGGTTAATCTTTGTCACCTCCACCTGCACACCCATCATGTTTACCCCATATAACCATCCCCACTCCACTTCATCCAGCCTATCACTCCATCCAACCTGCTCCCCAGACACCCACTTAACCCATCCGCATCCAAACACTTCCACCCTACCATCCCCGTGCAGCCCTGTGTATGACCAGGGATATCCTAGGCCTTTTTACAGAGGACAGGTTTGAAATACAGATTTATTTAGGTACTAAATTGAAATCCATCCTCCTCTGATTAAGTATTGCCCCTTGTGAAACAACTGCTTGAAAGGCCAACTGTCTGGAAGAAAGGATTGTCTGCACGTGATCCCATGATTCAGCATCATGCTGAAGGAATGGATGTAAACAGAATTTAGCAAAAGTAACCAAAGTCAACTGTGAAAAATAGAGAGATACACTCACTCACGGCATGCGGAATCCACTTGCACAGAGTTCACAGTCCAGATTAACACTAGTACAGTGCTGGAGGAACTTGACGTTGTCTGCCAACTTTCAGATGACATTAAAACCACCTGCACTTACGTGGAGGTGAAATTCGAATTGGAGTTTATCCCCATGTCCTTGTCAACAGTCCTGAAGATGAATGGGGCATTTACCTCATAGCTGTGTGGGAGGCCATTCTGTGTCTACAAAAGAAGACACTGTGCTTGACAGTAATTACTGTGAATTACCTTTGAGAGGATTCATTTTGATATAAAAAGCTTATATTCTGTTGGTTCATGTGTACTTCGCCTTTCTTGGCAAGAGCAGGTGCCTGCTGGAAGTCAGGATCCCTCCACACTGATTGCATGTCGTGCTATGCTGCCCCCAGGCAACATTGTGGTTTCTCTCAACAACAACAACTTTCATTTATATAGAGCCCTTACGCAGGATGGCATGCCAAACCACTTAAAGCCACCAATTTGATTCCTTTGACATGGTTTGATGTGCAACATCTATCAGAGGTGTGAATATACCAGTTGTATCCACCCAACCTCTCATCCTTTGGAGGTTAATGAAATAAGTACAGTGTAGAGTGTTGGAATGGGTTAGGATCTCAAATAGGATTATAGCCGAGTGTCACTCTGTTTGCAACCAACGTCTGAAAATACACACTTTACAACAGGAATTATTGGCTAGCAATCTGGAGCAAGACTCCTCGTGATAATTGTACTGAGACTTTGTGCATGGTGATAGCAAATGAACCACTAGAGTGTTGAAGAGAAGAGCTCTAGGTGCATTTTCCGGTGAGCTGTGGAGGGAGGTCCATGATTTGATTCCCCTTGAGGTACGAGAGAAGTCCACAGTTATCAAGCTATTGGACAGTTTGAGAGTTGACGGCAGCTTCTCTGTGGGTGGTGGATTAGAGGGGGATCAGCTCTCCTGGGGATAGGATGAATGTGAGGAAATGTCCAGAGAGGGAAGGTGGCAGGCAGTGAGACTAAAGAGGCAGCAGATCACCCGCATATGACTGCAGTAACCGGATTAAACAGGGAAAAAACAGTTTTATTTCTCTACTTTATATCATTTGTATTTGGAAAGTGTTTGATGGCTTCAATTTGGGTGATAGCTGGATCTGTGTTGTGCTGCTCTGATGCTTCGCAATTCAGTGAAAATTGTTATTAAACATAGCTGCAATTTTCCCAACAGAAGCAACCCTAGGTAACAATTAGCACTGGAGAGAATAGCAATTATTGTTCCAGACTGAAATAGTCCACCCCATTGTCATTCTTGGAAAGTGAGCATATTTAGGGACATGGTGAAATGGGATTAAAAGATCTGCTATCATTTAATCAACTTATGGGACAGACTTGACGAGCTGAATGTCCTTCTCTTCCTATGTTCCATCATTAACTTGTTTTTAAGTTGATTGTAAATACTGTTTCTGTTTTTAATCAAGAAAATGGATGTGAATTGTAAATCTGAACACAAATTCCATTCATATGCCAGCAATGTTGTGCGTATGGTGTCAGCGATAATGACATTGTGCAGTATGGTGTCAGAGATAACAATGATGTATGGTGTCAGAGATTTGAGTGGAATTGCTCATGTTAGTTATTTTATCTAGAAAATATTTAATGGAGGTTTGGGTTAATGAAGGACTGAAATATTGTTACAATAATGTATTCTCAGAATTTGTCTCAGTAACTGAACCTGGAGTGACAATAGCAATATGTACTTACACAGAGCTTTATAAATGCCTCAAAAGTCCTGTCCTAAAACCACAGGGATCATCACAGCATAGAAGGAGTGGTAAGCAGAAGGTTATGTTGTAAATGGGCTGAATGTTTGTGATGAACTATTCCACCCTGGTTTCTTTTTAATTTAAAAGCAGCACAAATGGAGCCCTGTAGCTCAGTGGTTAGAGCACTCGCTTTGCAAGTTTCCTTACTCCACACAGAGCCTAATAATAATCCCTCCAAAACCAAAAACAATAATAAATTGGTCATTTTCAATCTACGACTGTTTGTGGGACATTGCTGTGCGCAATTGGCTGCTGCGTTCGCCCACAAATATACAGTCAATTCACTTTACAGTGTGTTCTGTGAAGCGCTTTGGGACGTCCTCCCGACGTGAAAAGCGCTATATCAAATGCAAGGATTATTATTATTAAATGTGCAAGAGGAGGAAGCATTAATGTGTGAGTGAATTCTCGGGGCTGCTCAGCTGTCACAGCAACAATATGATGTGTTTACTTTTCATTTGTCACATGGCCCTGTCAGTGTATGATCAAATTTTGCTGAATGTTTGTGCCTGCCACCTTTGCTATTCCAGTGGAGTCTGTTGTGGGGAGGGGCGGAGAAGTCTGCCCACTTGTCCCATTGCTTGGAGGAGTTGTGCGACTCTGGATTTCTTCTCCCGTTGGTTTCATCGGCAGCCATTGCACGTCTCTTTACATCTGGTGACCGTGGGGAAGAGCATGAAATGTTTTGCACTAATTCCTGTTAGAATTCCTTCGAGCTGAGGTGGTTAGGGGCTGATCTGATTGAGGAG